GTGGATTTTCACTGGTATCGGTACCGAATACTGAAATTTTGGTACCGTGACAACACTAGTTTGACAGCACTAATATTTAGACTTACCAGGGTTACTTAGGGTTGGGTACCGTTCACATTTTAACCGGTACGGTACCGGTATCGGTACCTTTTTTCGGTACTTTACTCTCTGTGTAATTACAAAAACATTTATTTCAGTGAAAAAATAAGTCCAAAAAATCAATTTTGAACAATAGGGCCCTACAAACTTTTTCTTTCTTTCTTTCTTTTTTTCCCCCCAGAAATTCATGTTTGAATTAAACCATACTTTTATTTTGACAGGTTGCCATGAAGTTTCTGTGTGTATACAGTATGATGATGCTAGTTTTCTCAAATGAAACGGTAAAATTCTCGTGAAGTGACTCTCACAGCAGCTCTGGAGATTAAGTTTTTGTATTCATGCCGTCATATAGTGAGATGCAGAGGCCGAAAATCACCGCGAGTGTCATGAGTGCTTCAGTATTTGTGTAGTAAACAAAACCGCGTTTCCGTCATTCATACATACAGAGGCAAGCGCAACATGCAGGATTCATATTTAAACCGTCTTTTTGCATTTTAATATTCACAGACATTACTAATATAATACTAATAATATTCATGACAGTTCATATCGCGATTCTAATTAAGTGGCAGTGGCTACTTTTGATTTATTCGTCCAAAATTGACGAATTCCGTGGCATTCCGCGCTATAGAGTAAATTACGTTTTTATGAATGGACTCCACGGTCCCGTCCGTGTTTTCGCAGAAGCCATATGGCCCTAGAAATGTAACCACACTTCAGAACATTTCAGCTTGCCCTGTGTGTTGTTTGAACGAGTTGCAGGGGTGACCTCGCATCACAGGGTCTCTCTTTCTCTCTCTGTAGCGTATGCGCCCAGATGCGTTCTCAGGTACCGAAATTTGGCACTGATTGATTTAACGTGAATCGGTACTCGGTAGTACCGACGCAATTCGGTCAGTACCCTTAAAAGTACCGAGTTCGGTACCCAACCCTAGGGTTACTATTGTTAACTAAAACTATCAATAATTGTCTTAATTGAAATAAAGCTGAAATAAAATACAATATAAATATTAGAAGAAACACTTAAACTAAATGAAAATGAGAAAAGTTGCTCTGGCAACTAATTAAAATAAAATAAGTTTAAGTTGAAATACTAAAATTGAATTAAGTAAAGCTAAATAGATATATTAAAAAACAAACTAATAAAAATGACTAAAAGCACAAAAATTACTAAAATGTAAAATAAAAGATAAATATTAGATGAAAAGCTTAAACTAAATGAAAATTATAAACGTTTATTTGCAACTAACTGAAATTAAGTTTAAGCTGAAATATTATTAAAGATTATTCAAATGATTAAAAAATTAAAAATAAATGAAAGCTAAAAAATGACAAAAGCACAACCAACTTGAAAATAAAAAATAAATATTAGATGACAAGCTTAAATGAAATGAAAATTAGAAATGTTTATTTGGCAACTAACTGAAATAAATGAAGTTTAAGCTAAAGTCTTATTAAACATTATTACAATTATTAAAAAAATAAAAAATCAATTAAAGCTAAAAAATGACAAAAGCACATAACAAAATGGCAAAACTAAAATTAAAATGTAAAAGATATAAATATATTTGATATAATATAAAAATGTAATTCAAAATATGAATAAAAACTCTATAAATAATACGAAAATAACACTGGGATGTACAGACAAGCATTTTGTGTCTGGACTGGTACCTAACCAGTATAAACCCGTTTAACCTGGATCAAACTCACAATTTTATTTTTACAGGACATTTTTGATGAGATGTTTATGTAATTAATGCTTGAAATATGAAATATCATTTCAAAGGAACTCTTCTTGATGGTTTTGTTGCTCTCAGATCATCAGCAGTATCCTGATGGAGCAGAGGGTGGTGTTTCTGTCCACCGACTGGGCCAAACTCACGCTAGTCGCCGAATGCTTCATGATCTTCATTCACCCGCTGCGCTGGCAGCATCCGTTCGTACCCGTCCTGTCTCGCCAAATGCTGGACTTCATCATGGCGCCCACCGCCTTCCTGATGGGCTGCCACACGTCCCACTTCGAGGAGGTCGCAGAGGTAAGGACCAGCTTCATATCATGCTTGGTTTGACTACATTTTCCATTCAGTTTGGAAATGCTGATTATGCGACACTCAAATCGGTTATCCTGCACTAATAGCAGTTTACTTTTGCAAAATAGGCCTGACTTATTGCTCAGTTGATGACTGCTTCCTGTGTCTTTTGACAGGAGTTGGATGATCTGGTTCTTGTAGACATTGACCAAGGAACAGTGTTGTCTTTGAGTTCAAACAGACTTGAGCTTCCAGATGTGCCCCTGACAGCCAGAGATTGTTTTATATTTCGGTAAGAGGCTCCTGTATTCCTGATTACTTTGCATACAGTATTGTATAAACGTTTGGGGTCAGTAAGATTTTTAAAAATTTTTTTGAAAGAAGTCTCTTCTGCTCAATAAGACTGCATTTATTTAATCAAAAATACTGAAAAAAAAAAACAGTAATAACGTGAAACATTATTGTAATTTAAAATAACGGTTTTCTATGTGAATATCTGTTAAAATGTAATTTATTGCTGTGATCAAAGCTGAATTTTCAGCATCATTACTCCAGTCTTCAGTGTCACATGATCCTTCAGAAATCATTCTAATATCCTGATTTGCTGCTCGAGAAACATTTCTGATTATTATCAATGTTGAAAACAGTTGTGCTGCTTCATATTTTTGTGGAAACTGTGATAAATTTTATTTTTCAGGGTTTTTTGATTAATTGAAAGTTCAACAGAGCAGCATTTATTTGAAATGGAAATCTAACATTTAAATGTCTTTACTGTCACTAAACATCAGTGTGGAGCAAAAGACAGTATTTTAACATTGTAAACATGACACACTTGTACAGCAGCAGGATGTTTGTGTAATTCATCACAACATGGCATCCCTTATTTTTAGTTTGAGGTGATTCGCTTGATTTTACGCATGATCCTGCTGTGTACAAACTCAAAGGAGTTCAGAGACACAATTAAGTAAATTGCAAATAATGAACTTAATTACTCCTAATAAACAGAGTCATCCACACCGCTGCAGGGCTCAGATTGTGTGTTGTTAGTTCAGTTTAAGGTTGTCATGTGAATGTGCTGCTGCAGTGTTGAGTGTGTGTTTGTGCAGAGCTAAAGGACTTCAGCTTCACTATGATCTGGATGTTTGTCGCGTCGGGAGTCGCACTGACATCAACGAGCTGCGCGCTCTCAGGAGACAGTGGCAGCACAAAGTCAACACCGTCATCCTCAACGTCACCATGGAGCTCATCGTCAACATCTTCAGGTCTGCAGCTCAACACTTCTAGAGCTCATATCATAGGATGTTTTTTTGTCATTGTATTATTTTCTAGTTTTATAAAAAATGTATTGTTAGTTAGCTAAAACTATACAAAATATTCTCTGTAATTTAAATTAAGCTGAAATAAAATGAAATATAAATATTTAGTGAAGAAAAACTTAAATGTGAAAAATGTAAACAATTTGTAAAAAATTTTGCCATTAAATTTTGCTGATTTTTGCTGAACTTAAAATACTAAAATTACTAATACTAACGTATAAATAAAAATAAATTAAAGCTAAGTAGAAATATTTAAACAAATAAAACGACAAATCAAATGACCAAAGCACCTCACAAAATTACTAAAATTAA